TCGGCACTCTCAAAGCTGTCGACCCTGCCGGGCGGGGTCCGCTGTGACGCCACGCCCCTGCTCGTGGCTCCCTTCGCGGCCCCCTCCGATCTGAGCATCTTCCCGTCCTGGCTCCTGGCGCCGTGGCAGCTGCCTCCGTGGACCTGGAGGGCCCATGGCCAGCGTGCGCCCACGGGCGGGGCTCCTCCTTCTCCTCCTCCTCCTCCTCCTCCTCCTCCTCCTCCTCCTCCTGCCTGCTCCTCCCTACTCCTCCATGCTCCTCCCTTGCTCCTCCCTGCTCCTCCATGCTCCTCCCTGCTCCTCCCTGCTCCTCCCTGCTCCTCCCGGCTCCTCCCTGCTCCTCCCTGCTCCTCCCTGCTCCTCCCTGCTCCTCCCTGCTCCTCCCTGCTCCTCCCTGCTCCTCCCTGCTCCTCCCTGCTCCTCCCTCCTCCTCTCTCCTCCTCCCTCCTCCTCCTCCTCCTCCTCCTCCTCTTCCCCTCTTTCCTCCTCTTCCTCCTCTTCCTCCTCGTCCTCCTCTTCCTCCTCTTCCTCCTCTTCCTCCTCTTCCTCCTCTTCCTCCCCTCCGCCTCCGCCCTCCGCCTCCCGCCTCCGCCTCCGCTCGCCTCCTCCTCCTCCTCCTCCTCCTCCGCCTCCCGCCTTCTTCCTCCCCTCCTCCTCGCTCCTCCTCCTCCTCCCTCCGCTTCATACTCTTCCTTTTCCTCTTCCACTTCCTCCTCCCCTCCTCCTCCTCGTCCTCCTTCCTCCTCCTCCTCCTCCGCTTCCTCCTCCCTCCTCCTCCTGCCTCCTCCTCCTCCGCCTCCGCCCCGCCTCCCTCCTCCTCCTCCTCCGCCTCCCTCCTCCTCCTCCTCCGCCTCCTCCTCCTCCGCCTCCTCCTCCTCTCCTCCTACCTCTCCTCTTCCTCCTCCTCCTCCTCCTCTTCCTCGCCTCCTCCTCCTCCTCCTCCTCCTCCTCCAGGCCCCTGGCGGGGGCGGCCGCCCACGAGGCCGATGGGCCAGAGGCCGCCACCGCGCCGTGCAGCTGGGCTGGACCAGCCTGGCGAAAGAGGGCGCTGCGGCTGCAGGGCGATGGTCGGTCCCTGCGCGAGGGGTTCGCCCACCTGTCGCTTGCCTCGACGCGCAGGACGCAGGTCTGCCCCCGGGGAGCGGCTGCAACGAAGGGGCCCAGGGACACACAAATAAATACACACAAGTCCCTGGATTCACCATGTGTTCTCACAATTTCAAGAGGTTCGCCCCCCCGCCCACACTTCCCACAGTTCCCCATCTTTTCCCGAGGATCGGCGATTAATTGCGTCTGTGTGTGTATGTGTATGTGTGTGTGTGCCCACTCCTGATGCAAGCAGCGCTGGATTCTACTATCACCTGGTTGCCGTGGGCGCCCCCACGAAACGCGTGGAGACGCCTCGTCGTCGAGGGCATCCGCAAGGCGTCGGCGCCTGCCAACGCGGCGGCGGAGGCTGCGCGGGGCGGGCCTCCTCTCCTGGAGTCTGCTCGCGCAAGCTCCTGCTGTCCTCCCTTGCCTGGCAGCGCTGGAGAAGGCAGCGCCTCTTCTGGTTCCTCCCTTTCCTGGTGTCCTCCCTCTCCTGATGTCCTCCCAGTCCAGGTAGCGACGTCCTCCCTCCCCCGGTGGGTTTTCGCGCACGGGGGCGTGCTCTTCGAACCCTCCGTTGGGCCTGTCTTCATCGCCTTCCAGACCCTTGGGAGGCCTCGCCCTCCTTCCAGGCGGTACGTCGGGGCAGCCGTCCGTTGGTGGCAGAATTACCCGGTGATGCACCAACCTTTTTCTAATCAGGGGCAACTTTGCTAAGGACCGCCCGGTACAACCGAACATGGTAAAAAAACGCGCACTTCGCAACCCCTCAGGGGGCCGCCAGGTCTAGGCTGGGTCCGCGTGGACCTCCACTCCGCGAAATGGACGCCAGTTGCGCGGTTCGCAGCCGCCCAAGAAGTCGCGAGGTCTCGGCGAATCCGCGTGGACTTCCACTCCGCTGGACCTCCCAGGAGCCCACGAAAATGGCGACACTTGCGCGGTTCGCAACACCCGCAGGGAGCCGCGAGATCTCGGCAGATCTGCGCGCACTTCTACTCAGCTGGACCTCGCAAAAGCCAGCGAAAATGGCGACACTTGCGCGGTTCGCAACCCCGCAGAAAGCCGCGAGGTCTCGCCAAGTCCGCGTGGACTTCCACTCCGCTGGACCTCTCACGACCTTACAAAATGGCGACAATTGCGCGTTTCGCAGTCCCGCAAGGAACCGCGAGGTCTAGGCTGGGTCAGTCTAAAATGAGCCTGGTCGGTCATATTGCATCAAATTCCATGTCGAAGGAATGCGATATGGGGTGTGGATGGGTAAGATAGGAGAAGATCGATGTATCGGTCTTTCCAGCACATAGCGAATACCAAGTCAGGTATCCGGGCAAATAGGGCGCGCGTGCCTTGAGCCATAAGGCAGCGACGCACAGGCTATACTCCCGTTTACATATATCAGCTCCCAAAGAGCTACCCTTCAAGTCAGGAGGGGAGGAGACGGAGAGTAAAGCCGCGCAGTCGCTGGGCTCTCAGCAATCGCGCGACAGCTCGTACGGAAAAACAGTACTCGCAGTCTAGTTTACCACCGGACTGAAGGGCGATTCTATTCGCTGGCGAGCTACCTCAAAAAAGCTTTCCACGCGTTTGCAGAAACAGCCCCTGGAGTGGCCGAGGGCTATCGGCCCTGCTGAAGGTTAGCCAAAATAGGCTATTCCCCTCCGGGCAAGAGGTACGAGGGCAAGGGGCCTAAACATAACTGGAAAGGCTCGTTGCCAAGCGCGAGAAATGGTGTGACTCGTTTCCGAGCGAGCTGGGGAGCGCCTACATCATAAGCGCCCGCGCTGGCAAGCTGGGCCGCAGAGGCAACAAGGACAGACTAGAAGCGATTCGGCTTCAGCTTTGTTTTGTCCTCAGGGCCCCGAAAGGGAAACAAACTGCTTCACGTCGTACTTAAACGACTGAATACCTGACATCACTTCCAAAAGCAGCTCCCGATCGATACTCCCCTTTGTGTGCCCATCTGCGGTCGTGTCCCTAGTGTCACACCACTGTACGTTATGCTCATACCTATATCCATGAGCTCACGTATCCAACTGATATGTCCTAGCAGTGTGCGTTCTGTCGGTATCTTGAGGTCTTTGCTAGATAATGAATTATATATAGACTCGGCGTCTATCGTGAGGGACACTTTGATAGCTAGGCCTCCAACTTCACGCATATCCCGTAGCTGTAGTGGAGTAAGTGCCCCAGCCTTGAGCTCGTGGAGGGTGATGAGCGTGGGATAACATTCATCAAGGTTGTGTGCAGCTGCGAGTGCCTCGGCGGCGTAGCTGGACCTCACCTGCAGTCGGTGTGACTTGCATAGTCCGTCGCACAGGTGAACGACGGGTTTGCCTTGGGGCGAGTTTTTCTCGCCTTAGTACGTTCGCCCCACGAATGCCGCAGCCCTTGGTCTCATCGTCCTCCTCCCCGGTGAGTATCCGGTATCCCGAGTCACTATGTATGTCTACTTCATCAGTCGGCTTCATCCGAGGGAAGGTGATGCGTTTCGGGCTGCTGATCAGCTTTCGCGTCACTGCATTCAGTCGTCTGGCTTGTAGGTTGGTGGGCTCTTGGATCTTCTGGAGAGACACCACATACATCATGAGCCAGACCTGAGTGAGGAGGGCATAGGCGAGAGCTCCTCGCAGGCTAACGAACATGTCGGCAATGAGCTCGGTAGCCTTAGCTTCGGCCGCCGCGCCTGTAAGTTCAGGATGTGTGATAGGACGTAGGTTGTTTGATGTACTCGCCTTGGCCCATGATCACACCCCCTCGTTTGTTCTTCGTTTAGCGGACGGCACAGTTAGTGTAAGAGTGTTTGTTGAGCTTGCACCTGCCAAACACCTTTTCGACGCGTTGTACGTAATCAGCAACGTTTTTTTTCTAAGCCTGTCATATGAATGTCGTCGACATGTTTGCTGTAAACAGATCCTGGCTGAATTCGAATTCAGGATCGTAACTGGTCGGTGCAAGGCCTATAGCTCGAGTGGTCGTGCGAAGCTTGAGAGAGAACGCTCTTGGAGCGTCTTTCGCACCGGTCCCTGGCTTCAGGCACCTAAGGCAATGTCGGCTTTCATCGTAAGAGGAGAAGCCCGGAAGGGTGCGAAGTACCTGGGCACTTCCTAGTCGAAGTTTGAAGCAAACCCTGCGAGTTTCCTCGCCGGTGGCGTGAGCAAGTTCCTCATATGTCAGACCTTCGAGGAACGCTTTGTTGATGTCCATAGATGCGAACACCCAGTCTGGATGACACGCCGCTTCACTTGCCAGGAGCCTCTGGGACTGTCGGCGAGCAGTTCCCGAGAAGGTTTCCACATCGAAAGCGTCCGTGTCCATCAATCCACGGAGGACAAGTCTGAGACGGATTGGTTTGACATTCTCGGCGCCCGCCTTCACAAACTTCCACTTGTATACGTATCTTGACGTCATAAGATTGGAAGCTTTTTTGATAAGTCGTACATCTCAAAACATTGGTTGCCGAGCCAGATCTTGAGTTCGGTGTACAAGGCTTCACTGACCTCTTTGGGATGTGCTGCTATGTCGGCTTTGGTGAGTAGGTCATCTTCCTTAGCTACTACAGCACGTTTAGCAGCCGATGATACGTATACTCATCGGTGCGACCATACTTGGTTCGAGCTGTGCAAGTTGGGCCTGATCCAGTACGATCGTGGCCATTTCTGGCGTGAAGCACAATTCGGCGCATGGGCCACATTCGTCACTGTCAAGAGAGTAATCCTCGTCAGGTGTGGTCGAGCATAACGAGACAAAGCAGAGCTCTTCTTGTTCAGGCTCGTCGCCGAGCGTCTCCGATACAGAAGTACCTTCCTCGTCCACTGATGCTGAGACCAAGACGAATTGGTCGGGCAGCATAATTGCTGGGACGCGGTAGAGACATTCGTCGGTCACCGTCATGGGATGAAAGGTCCATACGCAGCTCGTCATACCATTCCTCCATCACCATGGCCTCGATGTCGTGTTCCTCGCTTTCCTCGTAGATTGTGGACAGTCGACCTTCACTTGGTGATGAAGCACCTGGGGTGTCTGGAGTTGGCCTGTCTCCAGGCTGGTCTTTCAGACGTTGTATCCAAGTGTTGATACTTGACCAGGTCGTCGTGAAATCCTAGGGAAGGAGCTTCTGACGTCAGACACTGGATGAGTCTGGAGTGAGTGCTACCAGTGATTTGGGAGATGTCCAAGCCGGTGCCTACACAATCGTAGTAGTGGAAGGCTGGGTTGACATCGTTGTCGTAGTGGATCAGTGTAGACCCTGTAGCGTACTTGACTGAACGTAGGTTGAGCACGCTCTTGGCCAACCTCGCAGCCACTACGCGCTCAACTCTGAAATAGTTTCGCACGAGATACTGTAGTGCCAGGTGTACGCGCGGGTGAAACTTGCTGTCGTCGGAGAGGTTGAGGTTTCCCTTGTAGTCTGGGATCTAGCTGAACACTTTGGCAGGTTTCCCTGCACCGAGGTGTGCCACATGCGTAAGGACGGTCTGCATGGCCATGTTATCCATGCCAAGATCCTTGGTGAGAAGGCATTCAATATATATAGCGTGTGGCGAGCGTCGGGGTACATTACAATCACCTCACGCGATCCTGCCTCGACGACTACGTGTCCACGCTCGGGCACGTTACGGAGCACAGGGAACGGGCCATTCCAGCCTCCATGATCGTCCTCAGTGGCCGCGGGTCGGTGATAGTCGACCAAGTCCCCGGCAGAGCATAGGCGAGCACCATCTGGCGCCGTCTTGTCCCTGAGGGCACGGTTCGTCTTCGCCACCGCCGTGGCTGCAATTATTGCTTCCAGGCTAACTCCCCCCACGCGACGCTCGCGTTCGTGGCCTGACGTCTCGGGGCCCTTGGGGAAGTCAAGTGTGTCGAGGTCAGGAAGGAAAGGGGGTTGTCGCCCAGTGTGTGCTTGGTGCGGCGATACTCCGTTGTAGAACGTGAAAGCGTTAGTGACGAAGAAGCCTTCGGATAGTATTCTGGTAACTACAATGGGGATGTAGTGTTTCTTCAGCTCTTCCTCAATCATGTGGGTAGTGCCTCTGAGGATGCCGTTGCGCGACTCAATCGAGGTCGCGCGTTGGCCAGGCGCTCGGACACGCAACGTTGCGCCCTTATTCGCCATCATGGCCTTGGCGGTTTCGTTGTTGAGGGCGCCTTCTCCGCCCGAGTACAATACTTTGAAGGGTCCATGATAGTCGATCCAGCAGTAGTGGTAGGCGTCGAGTATGGTCTCACGCTCTTTGTCGGGGACCTCTTGGCCTGCTGCCAGGCGAATGCATCGATCCATAAAATGGAATATGATCCGTTTCTTGCAAAACATGAAATCTACTTCGCCTTCGTCAAGCCAATTTCCAGGGG